ACACACATATACATATATATAAGCTGAAGAAAGTATTTTGTTGTTTTTCTTATTTAGTTATGGCTGGCTCTTCACGACCCCATTTGGGGTTTCCTTGGCAAAGATATTGGAGTGGTTTGCCATTTCCTTCTCCGGCTCATTTTACTGATGAGGAAGCTGAGGCAAACAGGGTGAAATGACTTGCCCAGGAAGCATTTACAGAGTCATAAATGAAAATTGATGAAATAGAAACTAACAATATACATTCTGAAAAGGTTCTGAGTAGGGAAGCGAACAAACTCATGATGGATAAACAGTTGAAGATTCCCAGACATCTGAGTTTGTATCTACATTTATAAGGTGGTGAAAAATACAGATTATCAGAGAGGGAAGAACTTTTCATACATCCTATACATATGCAAAGGCAAAGGTTAAAAATGGCACGCACATAGGCAAAGGTTTAAAACATGGACAAAATGTGTATATTAAAGGAGACAAAAGGATATAGGGACATTACAGGACACTATTAAATAAGAAAATTTAAATTAAAACTACAACCTTGTCAATTGAATATAATGCTGGTGAAGAAAAATTCCATTTATCCTTTTATTTTTTAAATTTGTTTGTATTTATTCTATTTTATCTTTCAAAAATAACTTACTATTTAAATCCATGGCGATTGTGAGCAGTGATTTTCCCAGGATCTCAAGGATGCAAAAGAACTCAAATGCCATCCTTTGTACGTTAGCATAGTAATTTATGGTTAGGAGCCAGACACAGAATTATATGTACCACAGTCTTAGATGGCTATCTGTGACGGCTTGAGAAGGTGCCTTTAGGTATAACCTTGCACCATAGTTCTTAGTGCTAGAGGGTAAGAGGAAGACTACTTGGGGAGCTTTCCTCTTCCAGTTTGCTTATCATTCTATCGCAATGAGATTTGTATCTGACACTGCATTATTAATGTGTGGGCCTTTAAAAAAAAATTGGAATCATTTAACGTGAGAGAAGAGGAAGGCTGGATGAGTAAGGATTTGTGAGGCTCCTTTTGGTTTTGAAACTAACACAGACTCTCTGGTTGGTCTAGCACTCAGGAGACCAAGAGGATTAAACAGGAATGAATAACAAAATTGAAAGACTGAAAAATCAAAGTTAGCAGGGAAATTAGCACCAACCCATATATGTCCTTAAGATTAGCAAATCAGATTAATGTTAAGATGATTAAGGTAATAAGCTGAATGAAGAGGTTGATGTGTATGTGAAGAAGCTATTGGAAATATGATATTAATCAACAAATATTTATTGAGCATCACTATGTGTTGTTTTTTTTTTGGAGGGGGACGCCATGCGGGTTAAGTGACTTTCCCAGGGTCACACAGCTAGTAAGTGTCAAGTGTCTGAAGCCGGATTTGAACTCAGGTCCTCCTGACTCCAAGGCCAGAGCTCTATCCACTGTGCCACTTATGTGTGTAACATGGTTCTATGTTCCATGAGTAGATATTGAAATATAATATTTATGCATGATTTTATCTTAGTTATTTGTGTATATACATATAAGCACATTTGTATGTTGTATATATGCTCATATGTTTACATATGTATATATATACATAAATACATTTGTGTATGTATGTGTGTATGTGTGTCTCCATAAGGGTTCAGATGGCATTTTAGTGAAACTTTGTGTCTCACCCAAGGCCTCAGTTTCAATGCTCTGAACAGTATATTTTAACTAAATATTTCATGAGGTGAATTGTTGAAGATGTGGCCTATGACTTCGAAGGAGGGAGCTCACAATCTAGTTGGAGAAACAAGACTAACCATTCTCTCCCCTAATTATCAGGTAGTGATGAGATCTGTGTGTATAGAGGTATGCTTCAAATATAATGTATTTGCTCTGAACAGATTGGTTGTCTTAGATTATTACCATGGGGAGAGGTGGTAGAAGGAAGCAACAAAAGATGACTGGGAAGGTGATAGAATATGGACTGAGAATGTTGCAAAAAGTAGAATGCATTTTGTAAAAAGTTTCATGATTGTTAAGGCTGCCCGATACACATCTGGGTTAAAAATCAGAGAATTTAGTTTTCTAAGTATATTTCAGTTGTTAGCATTTTCTACCACATTGGGAATTCCTCATTATCCATAGCCATATGTATCCTTCCTATAAGTTTTACCTCTTCCAGTAAGCTTTCCCTGATCATTCCAGCCCAAGGAGATTCCTTTCACCTTTAAAATCCTGTAATAATAATAATTAGGGCAGCTAGGTGACAGAGTGGATAGACTACTAGGCCTAAAGTCATGAAGACCTGAGTTCAAATCCAGCCTCAGACACTTACTAGCTGTGTGACCCTGGAGAGGTCACTTAACCTTGTTTGTCTCAGTTTCCTCATCTGTAAAATGAGCTGGAGAAAGACATGGCAAACCACTCCAGTATCGTTGCCAAGAAAACCTCAAAAGGGATCATGAAGAATTGGACAGGACTGAAAATGATTAAAAAATAATAATTAGTGGAGAGGAAACTGAGGCCAGTTAAGTGATTTGCCCAGGGTCACAGACCTGGTGTCTGAAGCCAGATTCAAACTCAACTTCATGATTCTGTCAGGTACTGTATCCACTAGATTACCCAGCTGCCTCCTATAGCAATGTCACTTATTTTGCACTAATCAGAATGGCTTTGGGTTGTTACTTAACACTCCACGAGTCTGTCCTTTCCCTCTTTAGCTAGTTGGTGAGTGCCCAGAAAGCTGGGGATATACCATACTTTGTTGTACTCCCCCCTTGAGCTTAGGGCAGCTGGGTGGTGCAGTGAATAGAGTGAATAGAATGCTGGGCCTGGAGTCTGAGAAGACCTGAGTTCAAATCTAGCTTCAGACACTTACTAGCTGTGTGAAAGTCACTTAACCCAGTTTGCCTCAGCTTCCTCTTCTATGAAATGAGCTGGAAAAGGAAATGGCAAACCACTCCAATATCTTTGCCAAGAAAACCCCAAAAGGGGGTCATGAAGAATTGAACACGTCTGAAACAACTAACAACAACCCTGCTTATTTAGCACAAAGCGAAGTACATAGTAGACGTTCACTGATTTGTTTCAATTTGAGAAACATTTATTATGTACCTATGAGCAAAGTGCTCTTCCTAAATTGTTTCTTGTGTCCCCTAAGAGTACGTGTCTAACTAACTAATAAGACTTTGTTCTCACTCTGATGTTGCAGAAAGAATAATAACTGCAGACTCAGAAGACGTGGGGTAAAATCTCACCCATGATAGTTACTATCTGTGCCATCTCTAGCAAATCATTTAACCTCCCTGGACCTCAGATTCCTCACCCATAAAATGAGAGGACTGGACTTGATAGCCTTTAAGGGCCCTTCCAGATCTAAATTGATGATCCTATGAATTTCTCCCTGTGAACTCCCTCCCTTAGAAACCCCACACATTTCTGCAGCTGCAAAAGCTTCCCAAATCCATACTCCCATTCTTCATTTCTCCCTTTATTTCTCTATCTATCTGCAACTTCTGGCTGGACTTGTCCACCTGCATAGAAACTATCACCTTTCCCTCCAAGCTCTGTCCTTTCTGACTTTTGATTAGACAGCCTGGGTGTTCCATAAGTATCCACTCAATATCTGGGCTGTATGGAATGTTCAAGGAGATCTAGCACCTCTGGTGTGAGGGCTCAGGGCTGCTCATTCTCCTTTGTTGTCTACCTGCCACTCAGCCTGTGCCCCAAGAAGCTATAGCACTAATTGGCCACACCTAGGTTGAGGGGTCACTGATGGGCCTCAAACTGGTTGGGGAGTTAGGGAGGTGTCTATCCCCAGCATGTGAAGACTTCCCCAACAGCACGGCAGATGAGAATAATTTATTCCAACAGGTCATGATGGTGGCTGAAGCAGGCTCTGTGGGGCACTCAGAAGTTGGTCAGACATTAAAGACACCAAGGTTATCCACTGCATCCAGGACTATCATTAGTGCCCTTGACTTTTGTTCTGTCATTGGACTTCAATGCCTCTGGAAGAGAAAGTGAAGCTGAAGACTTTGTGCAACTCTGCCTCACTTAAATTCAATTCATGCACAAGTCAAGATGTCACCTGTCGGGATTGGTCCTTTTGGAAAACACAGAACTAACAACAACAACAAACTCAACTTCTAGATGTCATTCAAGAGGAAGTTTCACAGAATATTAGGTAGATCCTCCTATGGGCAACGAATATGTGATTAGACAAGAATTGCATAAGATGTGAGGAATGGATGGGTTTCTTTTTGTTGTGCCCTTATGAAAGTACCATCACAGATGAGAGAACAGATCCATCAGTCTCCATCAGTTTCTAATATTATTGATGAAATGCATAGTGTAATGTCCTAAAATACATATTTAGAGAGGAGTGAAAGGGAATCAATAATGGGATTTTGTTTTCTCCCTGCTTTTTCTCCCTTTCCTAGCCCTCCCTGAAGGGAGTACTATGTCATTTCTTCAGATTCTTATTGAACTTGCGTCTTCTCTCCTATGTAACAAGGGCAGGCTGCTGGCTTTCAGCCTTCGATGGGCTGGGATTTGGCTGGTTTTTATTCCTTAATGTCAAGGTGAAAAAGCTCAGTGAGGCTTCAGCTTGAAGCCAGGAGGAGGGAGGCTCAAAGGGATGGTTTTGGTTGGTGTGCATAAGAGCCGGCGGCACATCGGTTTTTCCCACATCTCCAGACTAGACGGACTCGTTTACGCGGCTCCTCTGAGTTTCCCCAAGCTCGGCTGCCTTCTTTCTTCCCCGGGGGTGGAGGGTTAGAGCAGTGCGGGGGTCTGGGGACAACTTGGCCGGTGCCAGGTCCTGATGTTCCGGGCCGGGGTCATAGCTACTGCCAGAGGGTAGGTGGTGCTGTTGCCGTGACTGTGGCTTCCTCATTGGAGCGGGGAAGAGAGGCGGAATGTTTAACTCCGTGACATGAAGCGGAAGTGTGGAAGAGCCATCACACTCACGCTGCCTGCCTGGAACTCCCGCCGCCTCGGACCCTCCGCTTGAGCTCGCGCTCGCCGGGCCGCCTGCTACTCGCCCCTGGCCGGGCTCTCTCCGCTCCTGGAGCTGAGCTTCTTGCGCTAGGTCCAGAGGGGGAGGCAGGTAAGAGGCTGTGGGATGGAGGGAAGAGAAGAGAGGGGTCCTGCCCAGTGTCCTCAGGTCCTAGGGAAGGGGGCACCCGGGTGCCCACTGCTTCTGCTGTCACTTTCTCCCAGGCCAGAGGAGCGCGTCGGGCCCCTCACTTGTAGGCCCCGGCAGGGACTGTCGCGTGTGCCCAAGCTGTCCGGGGACGGGGAGGCCAGAGGGGGCCTCTCCAAAGAGCGGTGCGGGGGTGGAGGAGAGGATTGGGTTCCCGAGTGCCCGGCTGCGGGTGACAGCCCTGGTGGCAGCTTCGGGAGGGCACTTCCCGGAGTGTGGCCAACCCTTGGGAATCGAGTGGAGAGCTCAAGAAAGAAAAGGGGAGGCGAGGGGAAGTTCCGACGTAACTTTGATTATTAGGGAGTTCAATGTTCAGACGTCGGCCTTGACTTTGGCTCGGGCCGGGCAAAGTTTCCTACGCTGAAGTGCAAATCGCTCCTTCTCTTCTGCAAGGGTAACGCGGGCCAAGAATGAGCTACACTTTCTGCCTTTTCCATCCTTTAAAGCACTTTCCTGACGTCCAGAGCACTTAACAGAGCAAGTGAACCCGCGGGCGTGACCGGAGGAAGCTTCCAACTTTCTTGCGCATTCTACAGTTTTTCTCCTCTCCTGCCTCCTCTCTGCCGGCATTCTAGCCTTCCCCTCCCTGGCTCCAGCCCTTACCGCTTTAGGGAGACACCAGCTTTTCCTGTTCATGAACCTAACCTTTCTCTCCCCCCACCCCCGTCCCCCGTCCCCCGAAAGAATTTTGGAAAGAATACGTTTACAGAAAGTAAAAGAAACATAAATAAACAAAAAAAATGGACTTTGTAGTTGGTCTTTTGTTCATTTTTGTTCAGGCAACATTGTGCCTGTCAAATTGGGTCAGCATGTCCTCTAAGTAGAGATTATAGGGAACTTAACTTGCCCTTCAGAGTCTCATAAGAGTGGATGCGTTCAATAATTGTAGATTACTGCAAAATTAGGATGATATAAAGGACACTTTGGCCTCTTCCTCTGATCTTAAACAATTATAAAAAGAAAAGCCATTTTTTCTACACATCTAATCTTGAGATTTCTTTTCTCTTCAAGTTTCAAAAAGGAAACAATATTGTGTAGTCGTCCTGATCTCTGAGATTGAGTCTAGTGTTTTCATATCAAGTGAATTTACCCACCTTACACTGTTTAGTAAGCCTAGGCAATGTGGGATTCCTTAATCTCTTTCATCGTTTGTAAAACTTTAATGGATATTTTGATAACACTGAATTTGCCCTCAAAAAAATAAAGTTGTCAGTAAGTTGTTGGGCTTAAGAATCAGTGTTTGTAAAGTGTTTTGGGGTCCTCTTCATGTAAGTGCGGCATGGTTATTTTTATTACTATTTTTTTAGTGATAAGGTGAAACTGACAACAACAGATTGGACCATTCAAAAAATGTGGCAATAATTAACTTCCATGGTTTGTGTTGTCATCCTATTGTAGAAAAAAAAAAGTTGGGATTTTCCATGAAATGTTTTTTTCTATTAAAACGTATGTTTATTTTAACATTCATGCTGATTTCAAAATATCTAAATTCAAACTCCTCATCTGGACTCATTTGAAATACTCTAGAAACATTTCTGTAATGCACAGACAATAAAGGCATTCAAGACTGGTTAATTTTTTTTTTCCTGTACAGCAAGTCCATTTCAGGCAGTTTCATTCCTTTTTAATTTTCAAAGACAAAAGAGATGACTGCATTATAATTATAGCACTGGTCCCTTGTAGAGCCTTTGTTCTAAACTCCTGCTACACTAGTGAGAGATTTTACAGAATTACAGAATTTTCTATAAGTTGGAAGATAGCTCAGAACTCATGGAGTCCAACCCCCTCATTTTAGAGATGAGGCCCAGAGACTTGAATGGACTTGCCTAGGGTCATGGAACTACATGGGGGCATGTCCAGGTGTAGAAACTATAACTTTTGGTCTCTCTGAAACATATTTTCCATATACTCCACTGCAACTCTGCAAATTTATATGAATTAAAGAGTAGTCTGCAGTAAGTTTCTTTAATCTCTTGCAGCTTAATCTTCTTAAGGTGAATGTGTTATTATTTTTTAAACAGAGAAAGGAGAATTAATATTTAGCTCCTCAGTTTTGGCAAACCTGTATATTTTCCTGAGAGGATGGTAGCATAATTGAACAACAAAGATTTTTCTTTATCAGTAAAGCAAAAAGGTAACTAGCTTTCTTTCCCCTACCGTTGAAGGGAGTGTCAGGATATTTTAAAGACTGAGAGCAATATCCAAATATTAAGTACAAAGATTTGGGTCTAAAAATGGATGGTCAAAGATCTTGGGAACCAAAAAACCTTCTTGCCAAATAAGGAAACTTGGCAAGTAGTCTAGTGTATTTTAAGTTAGTACAAGAGTGAGTGCTATTGGCAATATATTGGCAGTTTGCCTATCTGGAATGAGCAGAGAAACTGACTTTGACAGGGTTGCAAAGTTTTAAACTGAAGTAATCAGGGGTGTGGAATGAATAATTAATTATCAGAGAAAACATTTGAGAAATTAGAATGTGAATAATAGGAAGAGAGGCCAGAAGTAAAGCTATTATAGTGTTCCGTGTAGCTAGGTGGTACAGTGGATAGAACTCTAGGCCTGGAGTCAGTAAGACTCATCTTCCTGAGTTCAAATCTGTCCAAAGAGTGACCCTGGCAAGTCACATAACCCTTTTTGCCTCAGTTTCCTTATCTGTAAAATGAGCTGGAGAAGGAAATGGCAAACCTTTCCATTATCTTTGCCAAGAAAACCCCAAAAGGGGTCACAAAGAGTCAGTCACAACTGAACAACATCAAAAAAGACAGTGTTGAGTTATAAAAATGAGGTAGACATTTGATTCTAGTGAAGATATCTAATGAGGTTGTGAATCCAGATCATGAAGACAAAGAAGAAAAGAATCACAAGTCTCAATGGAGATACCCATGCAAATACTCCTAAATGTCTTAGAATGAGATGATCAAATGCTAAGCACCTAGAATTAAAAGTAGTAATTTAGATCATCTGTTTTTCATTTTCTTACAACCAATACAGTTTGACAGCCAGATTTTCTTGTCTACCCAAGGAAAGTCAAGGCCAATCTTGGCCTGACTTAGGTAGCTAGATTGTGGGAGGTGACATTCTTTTGAAGTGTGGGCCATCTCCCACTGTCTTTCCAGATCTCATATACTGATGTCAGTAAACAATTCAGTTAATACATCCCTCAAATATATCAGCAGTGACTAGAAAGCCATACCTGGTTTGGGAGGAAAGTTATGAATGTCTGAAGTTTAGGTGGATTTCTTTAATATTTAGAACCTGCTGTCCCAGCTTTTCCTAGAACAGTTGCTTGTTGTAACAGCAGGTTAGGGATAAAAATAAGACCTGGGATTTTATTGATGGAGAAAACTCCCAGATGAGGAAATTCTCTCTACCAATGAATTCTTTGCAACTTAAGAATATAAGACAGCTGCCTCGAGCTCCAAGAGATTAAGTGTTTTCCCAACATTCACACGGACAGTATGTGTCAGAGGCTGACTGGATCAGTAGCTAAATAACCTTAAATAAAGAGTTTTATAGGGCAAAGTGTTTACAACTTTTCTAACGTCCCAAATTGAACTTCAGATGGACAACATATCAATAAAGTATTTAGGAAAGTATGAAATTGATCTGCGTACAAAAGAAAAACAAAACAGGTTGAGGATAAGTTGATTTTGAGGGATACAGTCAGGGCTTGTCTTGTTAAAGTGACAAACTTGACATTTATCTTTAGCATTGTTCCCCCTGCCTCCCCTCTTCCCCCTCCCCCGCCCACTGGAGGTACATATTCCCCAGCACCTACCTTCTGCCTCCCAAGTGCTTGGAATCCCCCTTAGCAGTATCTAGACTTGTATTCCTTTCTTCTACGCCAAATTAAAACTTACCTATTCTCTGTCATACATCCCAAGGGTCCTGCTCTCCTCTAGGAAACCCTGATAAGCTAGTTCTTTTTTAATTTTTTTTTTGCTTTTTGCTTTATTTATTATTAGTTTTCAACATTCACTTTTATAAGATTTTGAGTTCTAAAATTTCTTCCCTCCCCTTCCCCAAGATGGCATACAATCTGATTATTCATATATAATCACATTAAACATATTTCCACATTAGTGAAAGAAGAATCAGAACAAAAGGGAAAAACCATGAGAAAGAAAAAAAAAGAGAGAGAAAATAGTATGCTTCAATCTGTATTCAGACTCCTTAGTTCTTTCTCTGGATGTGGATAGCATTTTCCATGAGTCTTTTGGAATTGCTTTAGATCATTGCTTTGCTGAGAAGAGCTAAGTCTATCAAAGTTGATCATCACACAGTGTTGCTATTACTGTATACAATGTTCTCCTGGTTCTGCTCATTTCACTCAGCATCACTTCATGTAAGTCTTTCCAGGATTTTCTGAAGTCTGCCTGCTCCTCATTTCTTATGGAACAATAGTATTTCCTTATATTCATATAACATAACTTGTTCAACCATTCCCCAATTGATGGGCATTCCCACAATTTGCAAAAGAGCTGCTATAAATATTTTTGTACATGTGGGTATTTTTCCCTTTTTTAGGATCTCTTTGGGATACAGACCTAGTAGTGATTGTTATTTTTTGCCCTCTGTTCTGTAAGAGGACCATGACATCAGGAAGGAAATGCCATGACTTGCAAATGAGTTGGTTTTAAGTGAGGGAGGACTGCAAAGTCACCACCTTTCTCCTGGAGCCATCTGGGTCCAGTGGCAGGACAACTGGAGATGACCCTTATTGTCTAGCTAGTGCCTGGCACAGAGTTAATGCTGAGTAACTAACTGCTTGCTGATTGATCGTCATAAAAGTTCACATTTAAAAAGCTTCGAAGTTTGCAAATCATTTTACACATTGTCTCTGGATCACCACTTGTTGGAAATGTTCTGTAGTTGATTCTTGTATGGTTTAGAAAAGGTCCCTT